TAAAATGACAGCAGACAAATGTTAGCCTTTGCAAAGATCAGATGAAATCTATGGCTTTAGGGCTGCTCACCAAGGAGCGGTGTAGGCTACACCAGACACGGGCACCAGCAGTCACCTCCTCTGCATCAACCCGCTCAAATCAGCTTGGCAGCCATCACAGTCATCGCTCCACGGGCAGCCCGAGTGCTCAAATAGATTTTGACAAACTTTAATGTTTCAGCCTCTCCACAGAGTTGGGGTTTGGTATTTTTTTTTACAGCAAGACTGCTCATTCAAAACTTTTTTTGGGTGGGGGGTTTTGAGTGCGTTTGGGGAGATGCTGGAAGCCACACCGACAGCAGCTCAGGAGTGCACAGGAGCGGGGTTTGTTTGGGTTTAGTACACTTGGCCCTTACATATTCAGTAACCTGAATTCTGCTAGCCAAGGGGAAGGGAGGAGGGGGAAAAAAAAAAAAAAGAAAAAAAAAGATTACTCCATGGCATAAATATGCTGTATGTGCCCTTGTCTCATGCAATTTCTTTACATCGATGTGCAGGAATATTTATCCCCAGTAGAAATGTTTAACTAATCTGGTAAATGTCAAGCCATATGGTGTACATTGTAAGGATTTCATCAGGCCTTTTTAACTCTTTGTGAAAGTCTCTCCCTCTCTTTCCCTCTGCTTCCCCCTTTTCTTTTTTTCCTTTTTTCTTTTTACCCTTTTTTTTTTCCCTTCGTTGCTGCCTTGCCAGAGCCTACAAGGAAGGAGATAGTGCAGGGAGTGTTATTAACAACAGCTAGATCAGGGATGTGATGTTCATGGTTTACAATAACAAGCAGTATTAACCAGAAGTGCAACTCATGAGGCGCCTTTACACTGGGCAAAGAGACACGCTGAATGTAATTTTTATCAGCAGTGACCTGCAGAAGAAGATCACTAATACTTTTTTTTTAAAACAAACTGTCCACCCCAACAATGCACAAAATTCCCAGGGGCTACCTCATCTCTTATCTCTTCCTTTGAATAATCAAATCTTTACAACAAATAAACTGCAGTTCTCCAGCACTTTCAAGTAAAGGAAACGTTTCTGTACTGTAACTATCTAGTGTATCTCCCAGAAAGATAGAGTGCAATTTACAATAACCAATATCAAAAAAGAATAAACCGTTATGTTCGTGCCAATCCTTATTCATGGTTTTATAACAAGACATATCTGTTTTCTTCCTATAAATCTTGACTCTATTTTTAGAGTTTGCAAATAATGACTCCAGTCTTTGGCTGCCTGCCACTTCTGTGAAAAACTAGAATAGCCACAGTGCAAGACTATATTATTTAAAAACAAAAGAAAAAGGGAAAACAAAAAGAAAGGGATCTTGTTGAACTCTGTGTATTCCTTACCAGGACAGACTAGCTATAGATAGTGATAAGTGATGCAAATGTGCAGAACATGTCATAGAAAGCAGAAGCAGGATGGAAATTTGGAGGAACTTCCACACCTATTTCTGAATCCTTTTACCTAAAACAAATTGCTTGCACCCGCATGAGCCCTTTGCTGTATCACCAGCAGACACTTGCACCCAGCGAGGCGTGAGCAAGCCTGGGTTCCTCTGCTGGGCACTGCTGCCTTCTCCTCTTAAGGGGCCACCAAACCCTTTTTTAGCATCTGTTGATGGAGACAACCTCTGAGGGCAGGGGATTACAGAGCATTTTTCGCTATAGTACAACTCAGGAATGAAAAAAAACACCAGGAGAAACTACCACCTTCAGCCAAGGCCTCCGGACATTTTAGAGCCGTGGAAGGCAAGGGAGGGGGAGCTGCAGGTCAAGGAAAGGATAAGATCTGGGTGGCTGGGAATGGGGAGGGAGAAAGAGGAATGTAGTGAAGGAGGTAGAGAAGGAAAAGCAGGGAAATGACAGCATTCAGATAAATTTAGCTCTGAATCCAAACTTCGGGGGGAGGGGAGGCGTTTCCTGCCCCAAAACCTCTGAACTTTCTGAGATTCTCCCATATCGCAAGTGATTTACCTGTAAAGAGAACTGAAAAGGGGGAAAAAAAGAGGGAGAAAATTGAAATAAACAATTCTCTGCTGTTTAAACAATCTTTCCATCCTACTCCCCCAGGGTCAAATGTTCAGGCACAAGGACACAACCAAAAAAAAAAAAAAAAAGGAAAGGAAGAAAGGAAAATCATTTTAAAAAGAGGATCTTTACGCAAATGCATTAAACCCAGTTTTCATAAGTGCAACAACAGTATATCAACTGTTAACACAAAGTGCCTTCCCCACGTACCTGCCAGTTCCCTGACTCCAAAATATTTATTGGTACATTATACTTAACATTTCATCATTATTAAGGACATTATTAAAGCGAGTAATAGCACGACAGCTACCAGTGTAGTTATCTGGGCTTTGTTATGTGCAAGTGGCTTGGAAAAAAAATAGAGAGGCAAGGCTAAGTTGTAAACACACCAAAAAAAGGAACAAGATGAGAAACATTAATAATTAATCACAAGCACTAGTCTGAGACTTTTACTGTGAAAGCCACAAGATGAATGTATCTATTAGCCATGTATATATATTTTATTTTATTTTTTTTAATTTCTCACACTAATGTGTTTCTAATACCAGCATTATCTGGCAGTATAGACAGCTTATGCCTGAACAGCCTCTCAGCATTCAGGAAGTTGTTGACAAAGACTTCTGCAATAGCCTGTCTGATTTTGTGTTATTTCCTTTAATTGAACCAGTAAGACCTGCACTCTTGCACTCCTGACCTTTGCTCAGAAGGCTAATTTGAGATTAGGGTAGTCTGAAAGTAAGAAACGGGGAGTGTATTTTTAAAGCACAGAAACATTTCTATAGTAATAGAAGATTAAGATCAATTTCAGTACGAGGATCCTTTCAGCCCCAAACCACTCTGCTCTTAAAGGGATCTGTGGAAGGACTTTGGTGACACAATATAGTCCCTTAATTTCAGAAAAGTTAAAATCACTCAGCTTTGTCTTTGTGCTGAGTGTTTTAGGGCTTGTAATAAAGATGATGCCCATGACTTTGAGTCCTTGGTGTCTTTACAGTCACCCAGTAGGACATTCAGAATTCCCTTAGGAAAACTTACACAAGAGCATGAAATATGTCATGCCAGATAAATGATTCTTTGTGGTTCTTATATTATTCTGGTCTAGTACTGAAGGTTGCAATACTTAAGCCCTGTGTACTGCCAGGGAATGAATGACACAGGCTCCTCAGTGGGAGAAGAGAGCCCAAGTGACTTGAGAGAAGGCAGGAGAACAAATATTTTTATTCCAGCTGTGAACATTGTGCCAATATAGTAGAGAGAGTCTGCTGCACAACTCTGTGCCAAAATGCAGAGGAATGACTAAGGCCCACATGAAAAATGGGACCAAACTGCGGGGGGAGTGTGTGTGTTTTTAATATGTGTGGACTTGCTCCGTGTGTTCTCAGGCACAGTGATAAACAAACAGAGAAGCTGTCTGAGGGACTGACCATGACCCAGGATCCAGTGGCTACTCCTGCTCCTGCCTCTCCAGGTCTGCAGCTGCAGGAGTGCCTGGGTGTGCTGCGCCTTCAGCCTTATCAGGCTTCAAGTGAGCCTGCCTTGATTTAAAAGAAAACCTAGAAAAGTCAATAAGGAGTTTTCTCTTCGGGCTTCCCTGTCCCCATGCACTCCATGAGGATCCAGCTTATATTTTCCTCACAGAAGGAGGTGCAGAGATGCACTTTTCACTGGGAACAAGGGACAGGAATGAGCTGCTGTGCTGAATCTGTATCCTCTACCACACAGAGAGGGGACAGGACAAAAAGAAGGAGCTGGAGACCAGTTAAATGCACTGCCCTTCTGCAGTGCTGTACACAGAATATTCCTATTTGGAGCCAGAGTAACATGTTTCCAATGCAGTGTTCCAATGGGGTTGATCGTGCTGTCCTATACAAGGACATCCACTAAGTCAGGAGGAACATTTCAAGCAGCGTGTCTGCAGGCAAAAGACCCAACAGTTGCTGCTGTAACGTAGAGTTAAAGGCTGTTCCCTCTATTTACACATGTAGATATTGTAATGCTGCTATGCAAACAGTCCTCTGTGGACTTTTGCTTGTGGATTTTATTATAACACATTCCTGACTGTGAATGGCACCTTTCCTCTGCAATATCTGCTGCTGTGCCCTTTGTGTTTTACCTTCTGACTCTCTTCTGGTTTTGTTACTTTTCTTGCTGGCGGGATTTAAAAAGTAGGAAATGAACTTTCCCTTCTCTTCTCTAAGTGATGCTCACGGCATGTGAGCTGCAGTTGCATTGTATTCCCTGAACTTTGCAGCCACTGAAAACACGAACAGTATGTCAACTTGTTCCTGTCTTTGCAAGAGAATTCAAGGTCAAGCTGACCAGTGAACTCTCGTATTTAAACAGAGTAAGTCAATGCTCATCCACAGCACCGAAAACTGCCTCTAGGACAGACGTTAACCCTGTGCTGGGCCTCCAGACAGCGCAGCCCGTGTCACGGCTCTTAAAGCAGTTTGCTGCTGCTGTCAATAAGAGCTGGACATACTGCACATGTCTACCGGGCCTAAACAAGTGTCCCTTCTTTGGATGTGCACGGGAGGCCCTCAAGGGGTTAATACATGCCATTCCTGAGTTCAGTGAAGGGACAGGGAGAGCCGAACAGCGGGAATTTCAGGATGTTAATAGCCTCTTCTCTTCCGATTGGCCCAGAACGAATGCAGGGTACAGTAAATTGTCCTTGTCAGCTTAGCTCACATGATGATATGCTTTATTTCTAGACATGCCTTGAATCTGTCCCTTGAATTTATGTTCAGAAAATAAACACTTCCAGACGGCAATAAAGCATTCAGTTGTAGCTGGCTGTTGCACAGTCTCAAGCCAACCAAAGCCATTTACTTCAGAGTTTCTAGAGCTTGCAAAGCCTTGGCTCCTTCAGTTCCTGCTCACGTTAGCAAGTGTCCCCCCTCACCCCACCCTTGGATTTGAAAGGATGTCCCAACTTACTTGGGAAAGCTCCAGAGAGTTTTGCTTGGTTTCCATGCGGGCACCACCCTGAAGGATGACATCAGGCAGCACCTCGAACACGCAGACAGATCCTCCTGTCTTTCACAGCAACACTGAGAGAAAAGAAAAAAATTAATGTCAGCATGTTGCAAAATAAAGATATCGATGATTCAGGATATGAATTTTCTACCATAAAAAAAAAGTAAATTAAACAGCTGTTCCATTTGTGCCTGATGTGGCTAAGGAAACAATCAGTGGCTGGCTGATTTACTGATTAGGAAGGTTGTATGCAATAATCTCCAGGTGTTTCTGAGAAACACCCAAATAGAGCTGCAGTGTTTGTTTGCAGCCAGTAATTTTATGGCAATCCTTTCTCTCCTCAGTTCCCCTCAATAACACCAGTTTATAACTGCACAGTTACAGTATAGGGGAGTTTGGCAAAAATCAATGGTAAATGCGCATAGGAGACAACAAAAGAGCAATACAAATAGAAAAAAGCCTCGTTACAGCTTTAGTTTATTAGAAGTGTGTGGATGTCAAAATGCTTTCTTCAACCCAAAGGCACTAGAAGAAGAAATTCTAGTGGGCAGCCAGCACTCCAGTGTTATACCTGGAACAAGCTGCAAGAGCGCCGTGCATAGGTGGGTTTCATTTTTCTCCTGTTTGACACAACACAAAATTTCTGCTCAGGTCCATTCCTGCTGAAAAATAGTGCTCACAGAGGAACCCACACGGGGCCAGAAGCAGCTCTGAATGTGTCTGATTGTGAAATCATTTGATAAGAAGGCAGGAGAACAGCAGGGGTACTGTTCTGTTCTAGATTATAAACTCATTAGGAGATAAGGATGCCAAAATAGGAATACTTCAGGTATCAGGTGGAGCTGGAGTAAATTCCCACAGAGTGCTTGTTGGTGAAAAAACTGCCTGCTACAGTGCCAGACTGGCCTAAAAAGGGGGTGACCACAGAGGTGGTGGATCTCCCACCCCCAAGTGGGGAACTGGGTCTGGCCAAGGGATCTAACACAGAGATCAGTGCAGAGGCTGGTGGTGGGGGACATTCACTGGGCCAGTTTCCAGCAAGACACACACCAGAAATTGTCTGAACAGAGGAGCAAAACTTGCTGAACCATTTCTTTCCTTTCCCCCCCACCAGCACCAGATCCCTCCCATGCAGCAGGGGTGCAGAAAACATCAGCGTGGCTGGTTCAGCAAGGGTGTTCAAAAAAGCTTTTACAATTTCACAGGAAGCCAAAGGGCAATTACACTTAACACCCATCCCCTTTCCTTTTCTCTGGCTATCTTCCTTTCTTCTGTTTCTCATTGGCTCTCATTCCCATCCTTCCTTTCCTCTTCTCTTCCCTTGATGCCATTCAGGGACTCCAAAGGACTAATTCAGCACAGCACTGGCAGAGATAAGTTAAAACAATGAGGAGATTTGCAATTAGGGAGAGTTTTAAGGATTGGGAATTGTGCATGTTTTACAGTCATCTCTTGGTGATGGGGACTTTATCTTAGGTAGATAGGGCTCCTTCCTTAGCTGCCACAGCCCCACCCTCCTGCACCAAGTGAAATTCCACATTTTAACTAAGGTGTTGCTGTATTTCAAATGTATCCCACTGGGGGGAAAAGAAAAAGTTAAAAATGTAAGATGTACTTTGGCCAGGGCTGATTATCAATGGTGTACATGCCTTTAAAATCCTTTGTTAATGAGGTATCCTTATTACCATAATCAAACACGCTTAGAAACTTGTCACAGATAAGCAAAATTCTTTACATTCTTTGCTCTGCACTTTCTTTTGGCATCTCTTCCCCATCCCCCTCGGTGACTGCTGAGCTTCTGAAGGTTAGGGACCGGTAGTGCTGGAAATGGAAGCCCTCTGTTTACCCACACAAGAGAAGGAACAGTCAAAGCTTCCTTACTCTGCTGCAGAAATGACCTGAACAGTGACCTGAGGAGACCACCCTCCTGAGAGAGGAGAGGTCACCCAGCCTCCACGCAGGATCTGCTCAGGGCATCCTCTGCAGAGAGAGCGAGGGAGAGATTGCAAATCATCCAAACTGTGCCAAATTATGTGTGAAGGTTTTGTAATGCAGACTACTGTCCACCAGGGATTAAATTAAGAACATCAAACCCAACACAGAGAGAATTTCATTTTATCCTTAAATTCGACTTGCAGTGTTTTATTTAATGCTTCTTATCAACCCTCGTGACCCAAAACATCTCGCCACCAGAAAATACTTAAATAAATTGGGCAATTTGTGCAGAGGGCCATACAAATTCAGCATGAAAGACTCCTGCTTTTAATTTGTTCATACAGAACATGGACTCCTGACAGCCACTCAGGCAGCCATTCCCAGTCATTCCAGAAACCATCTCTTCTCCCTGTGTTTACAGAGTACCTGTCTAAATAGCACAAAAACTTGATTTAAATGTGAGTGGTCTGACTTTGAATCAAGTGATTGATAATTATAGCAAAGTTAGAAATATACTCAGCTCAGGCAAGGGAGTTTGCACATCACTACATGTCAGCAACCAACGATTTTTATTCCGAGACTGGACCATTTCATGTGGAATCACAAGCCACAACAGCATTTTTCATAAATCTGACTTCTTGTTACATAAATATACATCTTATTACTTGGGTCTGTTTGGTGTGGTTTTTTTTAACCTATAAAAAAAAGGTTCTGCTTTACTGTAGCCTTTAACAGACGGATTTGCTTATTTTTAGATTTGAGAATGTTTCTGAGAAATTACTTTTACAAAGAGACAACCTGCAAAGGTAGGGAAAAAAACCTCTAAAATCGCTCATAGAAGGGTATGAGAACTGCACATTTTTACGAACTCTTTGATGACTTCATCAGGGCTATGATAATATATCAACCATATTCTTAGGGCTCAGTTAACCCTTAGGCAAGTGGGAAGGATAGTTAGCAGCTCTGCAGGGAGCACACTTAGTCAGAAACAGTATTTATTGCCTTTTTTAAGTCTGGCAAAAGGGGCCAAGGTTGTAGGACTGTGTCCTCATGTTGTCTGGTTGATTTTCAGACCTGAAGCTCCCTAAGACCTTTTGCTTTGGTGATGTTACCAAGAGCTTTTCAACTGCTTTTTGACCTGCTGTGGAAGGAAAGGGAGAGTTTCTTCCCCTGGGCACCACAATTAAGACCATGAGAGATTTGTGAGCACCCAACAGCCCATTTCCAACATCAGCTTTCTCTGAAACTATCCTTTTTCAACCTGAAAACAGCAGATAAATACTGAATATACCTTAATGTTACTCATGAGTGTAATTCATTACCACTATCTTACAGGTGGGAAACTGAGGCATAAGGATTGAATTTAGTTTATGGCCAAACAAAGAACCTAAAATAAGTCCAGTTATGAGTCCTGAGGACTCCTCCAGCTCCTTTACTGCAAAACCACACTGACTTCCCTGCAGTTCTTTCCTCTGTGGGAAGAAACAAACCCAAAACTCCCCACAGGAATAAAAGAAAACAAAATTTTTGGCTGTTAGGCAGGACAACGCAAAGTAAAAAGCTGAGGAAAATTCAAGCTTCTGAATATATGAAAATTTGATTACTAAATTTAACAGAATCAATGTTTGCAATCAGAGCCTAAATGTGTAAACTAAGTAGAACAGATTAGGAAATAGGATATTGACCATGTGTTTGTAAATATATATATAAAACAATAACATTCCAATTCTACAACTAGCAGGACTCAGTTAAACTCATACACCAAATATGGGTACTCAAGAGCACTTTGGTGGCTGAATATCAGTAAATGTGTGAAGAAAAACCACTGAAAATCTATATGTTACTTTGGAAAGTGAAACAACAACTCCTAAAACACGCTGTTATGTCATTAAAACTCTTGATACTCCCGTCATCCTCCGTATTGATCGATTATGACTGCTCATGACCTTGTGAGGCAGTAAAAATCCTATCATTTCAGATGGCAGGGGACCCAATCCTGTTCTGGAGCTCTCATTCCAAGTGTGGTTTGAGACAGGCTTTTGCCTGAGCAGCCAAAACACTCATGAAAGGCTACGTGGATTGGGGCTTATAATCCGACAAAGTACTTGGCTGCAATACTGCCTATTAAAAAGTCAGCGTTTGCCAAGAGTTACCACACAATTACAGGGATGGCTGTAGCATCTCCAGAATTACAGGGATGACTGTAGTATCTCCGACAAGCCAGTGTGGGAACTGCAGGTTAATGGTATCTCTTAATGGTGATGGCTGTAATGTAGGTTAATGGGATCATAATTTCCTTTCCCTGGGAGAATTTGTGAATTCCTCCATTCATCGCCATTATTTTTAGTAGCAAATGAAGGATTTGATTCAGACCCGGAGATGTTTGCACCAGGAGGTTTGTTCCTAGTGGAGAGCCAGTTTGACTAGCTGAAACCAAACCCAGCCCGATGCCCCCGAGGGGTGGTGAGGAAGGCTCCCTGCACACACTGACACCGCTCTGACCCAGCATGTTTGGTGCTGCCCACATTTCGGACAGTCCATCTCTTGGGCTCATCCCACAGCATGCCCCAGCTGTAGTCCTGATGGAGAACACTGTGACACAGCACACTGAGCTGAGCTATATCTTTTGTGCCCTAAAACCCAGCATGTAGGACATCGGGGCGGGGGGTGTATTTAAAGTACTTTTTGGCTCACGGTTGAAGTTTATCAGTGATCTGAAGGCAGATCTTCCCAACCACGTCCCCGTCCCTGCTTTTTCCTGCACTGCCCGCTCCGTTCTGCCCTTCAAGCCCTGCTGGTGGAGATGCTGGAGGGCACGGGCTGTTTGTCCACACAAACCCCAAACTTTGCTGAGTTATCAGAACAAGGCATGCCTGGCTGTCAGCTTCTCAGCCGCAGCGGGGGGGGGAAACAGCGGAAAAGGACACGGCTCCCCTCTCATTTCTGATGCGCCGCCAAGGCCCCAGCTGGAACAGGAGGGGTTTTGATGGTTTTGTAGTGGTGAGGCATCACCCCCGCCTAGTGTGGCCCCCAGGGCTGCTTTCCAGGCGGGTTTGCTGGGTGCTGGTGAGCATCACACAGCTGGCATCGCACACCGCGGCCAAAACACCTTCCAAGGGAGATCCTGTCTGCCCTCTCA